TATTTTATTCTAAGCTCCGACGGCATCAATTGGTGATTTGATGGTCGCAAATACCCGTTAACTGTCTCCGCTAACACGTCGCCAGTTAACTTAATTTGCGACCATCAAATCACCAATTGATGCCGTCGAAACTTAGAATACAATACAGTTATCTCCTAATTGCAAGTTTCATGGGATTCCGTCAATTCATTTTCAAAGAGTCGCGGCAATCTGTATTCATAAGCCAAGTTAGAGGGTCTGGTTGACAGAGGCCTAGAGCGTGTTTGGCGACAAAATAGGACGACATGTTGTTAGCAACGACCACAAAAAAACACACACAGAAAAAACCAAGCTTAGTACAAACTATTTTTCTTAAACCAGCAACATCCGATCAGCCTGATCGGTAAGACATGCGCAATTAAGATTTGACAGATAAGGTGATGTAGGAGGTACAAGTTGTATATAAACAGCAGCTGATAAATGTAAACAAAACAAATGCACATGCTTGAGGAATTTGTAGCAGACGATTTAATTATCTTATCCACTGTGGTCAAAATAGTTATGGTTTGTAGTAGATATAATAACAAAAATAAAGAAAACAGATATTACTTACAATTATGTTTTAATGATTTGACTTAAAAATTGTGAGATAAAATATCATAAATCCAAGTAAATTTGAACTAACTGATCCCAGATTTCAGACCACATGTTGTAAGATTTCCTTTTCAAAATTTTTACTTGTACTTGTCTTCGTGGGTTTTTTGCATCTTGAACAGTTTTTAATGATGTGGTTTGCCTATTTACATGTTCATTCCAATCCAATACAGCTAGATTTGTCCGAAGAATATAAACTTGTTTGGAGAAGTTAATTCTCTTGTCATGATATTGAAGAATGGCATTATTGAAACTTTCCACATAATAACTGTCCATACAATGAACATAATCAGTTGGCGATTTATATACCTGGGTGTTCATTAGAGCCCGACCTAATAACATCTCTGCTTTGGGATCCTTAATTAAATATTTAGATGGTTCATAATTCGAATCAGTTTTACACCTTGATAATTCACTACAGTGTTCGTGATTGTTCTTATAATGTTCAACTATATTCAATAGACTTAGTTTAAGTTTCACTGGATCCTTATTGCAATTTTTCATTGCCCAATAAAGATGAGTTTTTATACTTGCTGCTTTGTCCGATAACTCAGGGTGCCACGTTTGTCCTTCCTTGTATCTAGGTCCAGAACAAATGGTCTTGATTTCTTTGGCTATGTTTTTGGTGGCATGCCATGTATCATTTGTTGATTCTGTGTCAATTCCATTAATACGGATAAATTTGTTAACACTGGTATTTCTGTCATGACAGTGAACGCGAATTTTCACCTCGTACTCATCTCTGAGATTTTTAAAATATTCGTAAATCCTCTCTGTTCCTATAAGTTCATGTTTTTGTGCACTTGTACAATCCACTTTTGAAATTGTTTCAACACGTAAAACTTTGTGTGTTCTGGCACCAAGGCAAACTACGTCTGTGTACATAGAGTTTTTTCTGGTACCATGTCTTGCATCAGTTACAATATCGATACCTTCTTGAAGTTCTTCATAAGAAGCAATTTCCTCCAAAAGAGCAGTTTCATATGACTCTTTCACCAGCTGTGACACTACCGGGGCGTATTTCTGGAAAATACTATTCAGCGTAGTCTCCCCAATAGTACCAATGTTAGATGCCTGACAAAATCTGGAATATTGGTTTGGAAGTATTCCTGACACATAAAATCCGTGAGACATTCTTAAATTACATAGATATTTGTCTCCCATATACGGTGAGCTTGACCACAGTAGTTCATGTTTTTCCTCACATTTAAGTTTGCATACTCCAACATGACCCTTAATATCAGTTGAGTAAAGATGCAACTGACTTTTACAAACTTTTCCATGGTTTATCACTCTTTTAATAAGGTTCTCGATTGATGTTTCGGCAGTGACAAAAAGTTTCTGTGTTGATGTTTCCTCATTACATGATGTAAAAGAACAGTCCAAAAGTGGTATATTGTTTTCCTCAGCCATATGTTGATCTTCATGTAGTTGTGTTATATTGTTTTTAATGTAGAATGTCATTACTTCAAATAACATGTCTTTATTTGTAGTCCTGTTTGGGTTCCCACCACCCATTGCCTTTTTAATGTCATTGGTCATTTCATATATCAAATTCTTCTCATCAATAGATCCAGAAGAAAAATTTATTTTTCCTTCAATAGGTTTTGGTTTTTCTTTCCTCATATCATTCCTTCTTTTAACACTCTCAACTTTATCTTTTAAATATTTTCTTTTTTCTGCAGGTTGAATATTTTCATTCATATTTACGGCAAGTGCTTCCATGATTATGAAAAATTCAATTTCTAAATTTCCCTCCAAAATTTGATAGCTACTGATGTTGGACATTCCAATTTTTCACTCAAAGCAGGGGTGAATGAAAACTAAGTTTTATTCTTAAAAAAGATATATGTTTCTATACTTTTTCTTGAGGGTTTTTGGAAGATATTATTTAATATTTTTTGAGATTTTATTTGTATTTGTAATGCAATTATTGAAAACTTTCCCTCAAAAATAAATTACATTTGGGTTTCCCCCCACTGTCAAAATGCTAGACTTCACTATTTATCTGGGGTGAACTTGGGAAACAAGAGCAGAATATATATATTTGATAAAATATTGTGTCAATTCAGCAGCTTTTACATTTATCTTAGGTATATAAATCACAGGTTATAACACTAATGTGTTTCGTGTAAAGATAAAAAAAAACACTTAATTGGACATTAAAAATTTTAACGATCCCCAAACCCCCATCAAAAGTGTGCAAAGTGATACTGGCACACCTAAAACTGTTACACATGACATTTTTGAAATCTATAGTAAAATGGAAAACCAAAATGATCAAAATATTCTTTCTTTGGCTGTAACAGAGGAACAGAAACTTGCAATTCAGGCATTTTTTAGCCACAATGATTGGGACTTTAATGAGATAGCACCATCAAGTACTTCTTCTAACCTTCATTTAGAAGATAATGCAGAAACCAATATTAGTGCAACTGATGAAATTGAGAACCCTGGTCAAAGTGGGTCAGATCAACAAAGTGCTGGAAATGATACAAATGATGAAGATATGTGTCAGGATTGTTTTTGCAGTCCTTGTGTTACACAAAAAAGACAAAATTGGTTAGGTGTAGGACAGAGGGCACATGCTAGGAATAGTGGAATTAGAAAACTGAAATATAAATTATTCTGGAGAATGATGCAGGATAGAGGAGCATGGAGCAGTCCTCAATATCTCAGGAAAAAATGCAGGCTTTTGAATAGGGATAGGGTTGATGAAACTGTTGTTATCGTCAGAAGAGAGGTTATCCCCGATTGTGTGTTAAATCTTGTGAGGGAATTGTACCCAAACCCTAAATCTAAACCATACATGGGACATAGATGGCACTAATTCATGATATACTTTTTTTATTTCAACCTGTAGTGACTGATATAATTAAACCCTTTTGACCTTTTTTTATTACTTTGCACTCAATGTTTATATACAATTTAACTTATTGGATTAATTAACAAAAAAAGTTTTCTGGAAGGAAAGTTTGTGTAATGTTTCAAAGGGATTTAAACATTGGATATCTCTGCAAATTAGGTAGGTGCTGTCTTTATTATGCATGAACATTATTTTCCATGTGCATTTGTTTACAAACAGAATCAGCTGTTGTCAGGCTCCGCCTTCAAAATTCAAATTTGAACTAAAAATCTGTTCACTTCAGATTTTTAAACATGGAATATTTAAAAGATAGAAAGATTTTTAAATTTTTTTTCCACATAATATGTTGAAAATTCTTGAAAGAACATATGTAACAAAAATCATAATAAATTACAAGTGATAATAAAAGTTATTCATAAAACATTGTCTCTGATTTGAACCCTGTCAATTATTTACAGATTTTAAGAATTCAAGGGATGCAACCCTTTTATACTCATGTTGCTGGTTTAAAATCAATATCCGTATTCAACGCACAGGCGATTGCAAAAACAGCAATTTTTAATTGCGTACTGGGCATAAACTATACTGCATTGGTCCTGTTATTCTTGCTTCCGTATGTCTATCACACAACGGTATAAAAACAACAAATCAACAACTTTCTATTTTTTTGTCAGATTTGTTTGGACAAGTCTTAAGTTGAGTTTTCAAACTGTTTCACTCCAAACGCTTGGTTAGATTTTGTTGTCTGTGGTATAAATAAATTGAACACAAACATATCTTGAATACGATAGCCAATGACCAAACCATAAAAACCAGTTTTAGTTTGGGATTATCAAATAAGAATACAGCTCAGAATTTTGAACTTTTTTCATACTGGCTACGAAAACAAATAATCATGATTAATTTCATTAAATTTCTTCACACTTGCATTTCGACTTTAGCCGGAAAACTGACTACTATTTAGAATGTTGTAATGTTATCTTTTGGGAGAGAGGGAGTGGAGATAGAGAAATGATTCCTTTAAAGAGAATATTTTGTCCCACACTGAACAGCAGTTACATTAACAATTCATGTCAGTTTCTATACTCTTTTACAACAAAACTGAGACAAAACAATGCATCTTTATATAACAATTATCTGATCTTTCATGCCAAACAGCTATTAGGTTCACGATTGCATTTCTTTTTTAAAGAAAGCAACTTTTTACCTATTTTTTCGGCCAACAATAGACACTCCGTTAAAAATAATGGACTGTTTTAACGGTTTTAAACAAAATTGTCTTAATTGAATGAAAATCGAATGTTTTTATCCGGAAGACAATGATGACAGATTCTTCTAATTTGTTTTAATGTCTTACAAGTTTACATCTCCTGTGAGAATATAACGAGTAATTTATAATTTCATTCTTCTCACCCGTCATGCATCACTGTAACAAATATAATGTTCTACTGTTAAGTTATAAATTACACACAGCAACCATTCATGTGTACCTTAATAAATATCGGTTGTGTTTCGCCCTATATAGTCAAATTAATTAAAAATGTAGCATTCCTCAGGTTGGTCAATAATAGGAAAAAGTGCTTTAAAAGATAGTTCACAGCTAACTGTTTAAAATTGTACACTTAATATGAAGGCATTGTCAACAACTTATAATCGTTAAGGATTCCAACGTGTGATTTCAGCTGAAAATTGTTGACACCATCCGCCTAAGCAGCATCCGTTATCAGACATTCTTAATGGTTATGAATAAAACGAACATGGTGTATACATCAGTACAAAAACAACCCAGCGACGCATTAAACAAAAGATGTCTAGAGAATAAGGTAAGGTTTTCAACAATAAATCAAAATTAGTACTTGTGCTCTGGACCAATGAAAATGTAGAATTTGTATTCCTTAATCGCGAAGAATGAATGTAAATCATATAACTGTTGCCTATATTTGTTTCTTTCATTATTCCAATGATAGCTATTCTCTGATAAAACAAGAATTCAACGTAAGATATAATTACAATTTCCGTAGAAAATCTATAGTTGAATAATTTTCACGGCCAAAAGTTTGGAACAACAAAAACCAAAAACCAAAATGGTTACAGTCACATGGGTGTCATTCGTTATAGCGAGAGAAATGATCATGAAAGAATAACTAATGGCGGTCAAGCATTGCGATCGGATCGTGAATGCAATTTAGTGTAATTCTACTTCTAAATCTGTGAAAACTCTGCTGTTTTCAAAAGGTGGAACAAATCAGAAAAAAATATGTCGATTCAAATTCCTTGATAAAATTGTGCACTAAGTTAAAGAAAAAATGCAGTACTTTAGGAAAAAAAACAAAAAAAAACACAAAAGGCGACACACTATCCTATGAGAATCATTAAGAAAAATCAAATTTTGTATCTATAATGGTCACATTCCAATATGTCATGATAATTATATTGGAAACTTAATCCTTATTATATCAGATAGTCCAGTAAAAAGTATATTTTTGTTGATTTTTAATCAAAATTGATCGAGAAATATCATTCAACGCATTATTTTGATCTTGAAAGACAAGGCATGACCAGACTTAATGATCAGAAAACAGCATTTCTTTTATCAACTGATATACTTGTAATTGTATATCAGGATGTTTTCATTTAAGAGGCAATGCTACATGTAACTATAAGCATCCAAGATAATAAGACCTTCAGGAGCGTAAATTGTCGAAAAGTAAATGTCTTTGTATATATATAATGCGTAATGCGTGAAGCGAGAGGGAGTCTGGTGGTCTTCCCCTGGTTGAAGTTTTACCTTAATTTGTCTTTGTACTATTATGGTCCATTTGATCGTATGCCTCTTGATTGACGTGCATCCAACTTCAGGTTTTTTGGCTTTTGGCGTTCCTTGTGTGGGTGCGTCCAGAGATGCTGTTTGGACACATGAGGTTTTTATAGTTTTGTTTTATTTTCACTATACCTTTGTAATTATATCTTCCTTTTTTGTATTTTAACGGGGAAGTGCATGTACATGTATGTAAGGAGCCCTTACGGAGCCCCTTAAGTACCAAGTAAAAAGAAATATTTTCGTTTACCGGAGATTTAATCTAGTGCGCACGACATTTGAAAACTGGTTCACACAACTTTCAAAAACTGGTGCGCACGACTTTTAAACTGATGCTCACAACTTTCAACCTAGTGCGCACAAGTTTCAAAGTCGTGCGCACCAGTTTTTGAAAGTCATGCGCATTATTTTGGAAAGTTGTCAACACGAGTTTGAAAGTCGTGCACACCATTTTGAAAGTCGTGCACACGAGCTGAAAAGTCTTGCGCACCAGTTCTTGAAAGCCGTGCACACCATTTTTGAAAGTCTTGAGCACGAGAATGAAAGTCGTGCGCACCAGTTCTTGAAAGTAATGCAAACCATTGTTGAAAGTCGTGCGCGGGAGATTGAAAGCTGTGTGCGCCATATGAAAGTCATGCGCGCAAGTTTGAAAGTCATGCACACAAGTTTGAAAGTCGTGCGCAGGAGTTTTAAAATTGTGATTACGAGTTTCATAGTCGTGTGCACAATTTATCAAACTGGTACGCACCAGATTAAACGCAAACGAAAATATTTATATTTACATGACACTTAAGGGTTCCGTAATTTTGCTTTACTATTCCGACAGTGTTATCGACTACAAAAAAAATTGTTGGCGTCTTTGTTTGATTCAATTGTCAGCGTGTTTGGACGTTAAATTAAGTTGTGTTGTATGTCAGTGTTGTGTGTTTACACAGTTCGGGCTGTTGGATACCAGATATGGCCACGTTAACCAATGTCTGTATGGGTTGCTCACCCAACTTGGCAATATAACGGAACATTAAACAAATGTCATACAAGTATTAGATAGCATTCAACCTATGCCAACATTTTGAAATTTAGGTATAAAATTGTATGAAAAAATGTTGGCATAGGTTGAATAAAATATAACAGATTATGTGTAATAAAAACAAAAAAATAATTAGTGGCCAATCAATTTACAAACAGTTTAAACTAAGCGTTTAAGTGTACTCAAAACTATTTTTATCACTGTGAAAATGAAGGCAACTCTATGTGTTGCTGATCTTTTTTTTTATTAGGAATGAACAAAACAAAACAGAATATATACATGTATACCAGTATCACGTGAATATCAAACAATATGAAAATTATGATGAAAATATTTGATGATATTTTTAGTAGAATTACGTCAAATGCATGGTAATAATGAATATACAGTAACACTATTCAAAATCTGCTTCACATTGAAAAGTGTATTTAATTTACAGTTCAGTATTTATGGAATAAATCTGTTTTTGTATGTATTTGTATATATTTGCGTTACTTCTTATTACAAAAGCTATATTCAGCATTTTTATGTGTTCTAAATAAATATACAAAACACATATTTCGTATATACTGACATGTGAAATTTTAATTTTTTTACTTGTGTAACAAGAAAACAAGTTTGGCGACTCCATTTTGTCTTTTTACATTCTCAAAGCATATTGTAAATCCTATCCTCTCATATTTTATTTCAAAATTCTATCTCATGGATTTCTTTTTATTCAAATAAAAGTGTTTTTCGTGAATAATCTATACAAAATTGAGAAATATTGCACGACTTGTAGCTTAAAAATAGCGTGGTGACCCATACGTTTTATTATATCTTTTAAAAAGGCATCGCAGAATCTACATTTTGGCAAAGTATAAAAACATTCTATCTGGAGAAATATAAAGTGATGATCCACCTTAACTAGTCTGATAAACGGATCATATATTATTTGTTACGAATATCATACATTCTAGAAAGATATTTTCTGGAAAGTACATATCTGGCTTTTCCAAATCTGAAAATATCAGAAGCGGTCTGACATATTACCACTCATACCTATTATATACATTATTATAATTATGCTGCTACTCATGAGTGCTTAGAAAATCGTAATTCTCTGTATATTGAATTTGGCAATAGAGCACTTTTCTTTGACCAAAAATAATGAGTGTACTTTTCTTTTTTAAATAAGTGTAAGTTCAACAGGTAATAATGTTTCTAATAAATAGAAATGGTACCGAATGAAAGAACTCTGTCACAACTAGTAAAAGCCAATTTATATATATCTAATTTATACCTAAAAATAATAAACCAACTTATCAAAAATAAAATTTTAATTTTAATATTATAATAGATAAATACAGATTTAATACACTTTTTAGCTTGGAGACTCGGCAACATGTCACACGTGAACAAATCTTGTAAATTAAAAAAATCACAAATAAGGAGGGTTTTTTTTATAACTTTTTTATGTTATTTTTGTAATTTTTTATTTATATCTGTTTGGTCTTTTACCATACAGAAGTGTTCTTTTGTAATATTTTTGTCTATCTTTTTCAAATATCATATTTACTACAACATAATATTGCAAGTATTTAGCTATTGTTTCTAATTTAAAAGTAGTAATTTTTAAAGCTTTAAAATACTGACTGTATTTTACCTGTAATTAATTATTAATTGTTATAACAACACCTATTGTATTTTGTTTGTAGACATAGGTTGAATATATATTTTTCAAATGTTGGCATAGGTTGAAGACACCAAAACCAGATTTAACCCACCATTTTCTTAGGAAAATGCATGTGCCAAGTCAGGACTATGAAAGTTGTTTTTCTGTTGGTTTTTTAAGCAATGTTTTTTTGTCCAATTTTTACAAAAATCAACAAGGATTTTCGTTTTATAGATATGACTGTGCATAAAAATTAATGGAAATCAGATGAAAAATCTTAACTTTTTAAACGACATAAAACTTATGCAGGACGGACAGACGGACTTGTATTGTTATAAGAAAACTAGTCGGTGTGGTGTTATCAAATATTCAGATCCAATGGCATTGAACCATCATAGCCCTATTCACTAACAAAAGTGATGCGGAATAAGTCATGCAAATCCAACCTTTTGATATACCAATTACAAATGTAAGTTATCATTTGTTTAAAAAGATTTGATAGTTTTCGTGAAATTTTTGCAATAACAAATAAGCGGCAACAAATATTTCTCGATCCTTTTCACGATCATCAAAATGCGGTACCCGATCTTTCACGATCCGAAATATCAAATTTTTACAAATATTACCTTTGTTGCAAAGTTTCTGATTAAACTAATTCAAAATAACTTTAAGAACTATTTTAAACAGTAATATGGATCGATATTTTTAAGAGAAAAGTAGTTTATGCATTAAAAATTTGGAAAACAATCATGTTTGTTTACATTTTTAATTCTCTGAAATTTCGTAGAGCAATTTGCCTTTTATAGTTTTGTGAAAACGGTGTATTTTTAAGCCTTGATATTTCTCGGATACTGATCATAATGTTAAACCATTTTAACAGACAGTTTTATTTTTCCAATATTTGTCATCACAATTGATAAGATTAGATTATTTACTACCAGGCTGAAGATAGCGAACAATAACTAGCGAACAATAAGCCAGAGAACAATAAGGCGATATATCTAAAAACCGAAAAAATGAATAAGACAGCAACGGCCGTTAAATGAAAAATATTTAAAAAGGCAGAAATTCCGTCCAAATATTGCAATTTCAACTCTATCATGAAATGGTATTTATCCCATCCATTGATAAAACTAGTCACATCTCTTTTTAGGCTAATATTCAGTACCACAGTAAATCTGCATCTGTCAACGGATTATTTGTAGGTGTAAGACCACCGATTTACCCACTTCAATTTAGAGCGTATGTAAAAGTAGTCCTCCCCTGTAAAATACAGCACCTCTGATGTCATTGTTTAATTGAACTAGGATACACATTTGCAGAA